TACCCTTTAATTATTAACACTGTAGCTACAGTGTTTATTTGAGAAATCTCAGTTTTGAGATTTGTATAATTTCCGAATTTCGAGGACGAAATTCTTTTAAGGGGGGAAGAATGTAAAACCCCGAAATTTTATAATAAAATGGTGTGATTAATAGTAATAAATCTTTCTTTGGTGATAAATAACCATACATATATATGATGTATATATTTTTACCAGGGTTTGGGAACCCAACAGGTGTTTATATATGAGAGATATCGAGTGATATAAGTCCAGCAGGTGAAATGCCTGCAAAAGGCATTTTTGTGCTGAGCGGTCGACCGACGCGGTCGACCGGGGCGGGCGGGCGGTACGGTCGACCGATCAGCGATCAGAGAGTTATCCAGGTTGTTTTCTTTTACGGTTTTTAGTTTTGGGCTATTGGGTTTCGGGTCGGGTTGGGGAATTGGTATTTATACTTTTGGGTTTTACGGGTTTTGTTTTGGTCTTATTGGGTTTCGGGTCGGGTTAGGGAATTAGTATATATTCTAAACCTACCCAGGAGAGCCTCTCTCTTCATCTCAACGTAAAACCCTAGCCCCCTTTCCTCTTTTCTCAAAACCCTAGCTGGACCTGGTGATTTGGGGAGTTTGGAGGAGTTCCAGGGGATTTTTCGCGGATTTGAGCAAAGGAGGATCATCTCCAGAGCAGTTGTCAGCATCTAAGGCGAGTATCATCTCGCCCAATCCCCCACCCCTTTCGTTTTCATGTCAAGATCTAAGTTTTATTGGGTTTCATTGAGCCAAATTCGTATTTTTGAATAGCTAATAGAACATTATGGCATAAAGTATGAAATTAGTGTATTCTTTGTTCTTAAAACTCACCAATGGTTCCTGTCTAAAAGATCTAGATCTGAATCTAGCTTAAAAGAAGTAAAAGTCTTATTCTTTTTTTTTTGTTAACAATGGGTGGATCATGTTTATATATATATATATATATGGGATCTTGTTGACCAAGTTTTAAAGGTTTAAATCCGTGATTTACTGCTGCATAACATTTTCCATAAAGATGGATTTTTGTTTTTTTAAGATTTTTGTTTCAGGTTTCGAGCTGACAGAAACCCAGATTTGGGTTTCTGTCCGCTCGGCGGTCGACCGACGCGGTCGACCGCTGAGCTCGTTTTGAGGCTTCGGTCGACCGCGACGTTATTTCGGTCGACCGTGACTTTTTTTCGGTCGACCGCGACGTTATTTCGGGACGCGTGTTTTGTTCCTGTACGATCCCTGTTTTGGTGTATTTTGATATTCTCACTCCATGTTTGACGAGTCTCAGACTGGGAAATATCTGACATTTGTATTTAGTCCTACTATGTATCCAGGCATGATGGATGACCTGAGGGTACCAATTGTGAATATATACACTGATATGATTATGAAGTGATGTAATTTAGATTTCCACTATGTATCCCAGTGATATTTTCACCAGTTCACAGTCCTCGTGTTGGACTATAATCCATAGAAGTCCTTGTGTTGGACTATAATCCATAGAAGTCCTCGTGTTGGACTATAAATTCATTCCAGTCCTCGTGTTGGACATTTGCCACTTAATCTATGAGTTTGGAAAACTACGACATAAATAGTTCCTGATTTGGACATAGTTCTTAACTCTGCATATGACTTCTTCACAGAAGCTCACAGCATGATGTTGACATGACACTTATGCAAGTAATAATATAACATTCATGTTAGCTATGGTATGGCACTGTAATTTGTTCTGAGATTAGCTGTATTTTCTTGATTTGTTATTTCTGTACTAGAACCTCGGGTTTGGTGTTTAGAGATTTACAATTTGAGATACAAGGTATATACATGAGGGTTTCCTTGTTTGGATTATTTCGCTCGACGTACCTATTCTCGTGTTGTGAATTTCTAAATATTAAAACCCTCCCTCGTAAGATCAAGGATTTTAGATCTATTATATATATTATCTGTATTTTCTTATACAACGAGCCCTTTTCCCTTGGGGTTGGTTGTGATGTTACTCGCTAGCGCTTTGACGCTCGTTGTCCCTCCCCCTTTCAGGTCATGAGCCAGGAGCACGGAGAGCCGCAGGTTGATAGCGGACCACATTAGTGTTCAGCTTTACTTTCTAGTTATGTATTATTTTCTTTGGGCTCCACTATAGTGAGGTTAGACATTTGAGGGTGTTATTCTAGAAGTTGTAAAGGCTGTGAGCCTTATATCCTTATCGTCAGATGTTTGTATTTGAGACTTGATGAGTATTTCAGTTTATCTACTCAGATCTTGACTATGTATTTCTGTATTGTTGGATGATGAGATATTTATGTGACTATTATCATTTCATCAGTATTCCTTGTATTATCTCTTACATGTGTTATACCTACACCAGTTGTTGATTCTACTAGATAGATGTTAATTGTGATGGTGAAACATGTTATTGCACGGTGTGGTGCATAGCAGGTTTGACATTCTTGGTTTCACCTTGGACTGCAGCCTTGTGTGAACCCAGGGGCGTCACACGTAGGCAGTTGCCGAACCTCGTTAAATCTTGGTGTACCTTTTTCTATACTGTGTTTCTGTTGCATTAGGGGTTTCAGCGTTAAATTCCCAACAGTATGAGTGGATAAATACCTGGAGGAGTTTAAGGTCCTTTAATTTTTCTTGATGTCTGATTAATCAGGTTGAAGCATGTCCTTGCACAAGTAACATTTGTTAGAGGGCCAGAAAGAATCTTCCCCGTGTGCCCTTCATGGATCTTCCATGTGTGCCCTTCACATTCAAGTTAGTGATAGATTAAGCAACCTTGTAGAATGCAAATCTAGTTTTAGGATTTTGTTTAACATACCTTGGTGTAGTGAGGTTATCTATTTTTTATAGAGAATTCATGGGAGGGCACATTGGTAATTTGCTCGGGTCAGTGCAGTCGGTCGATCAGATTGCATTTTGCACTCGTCGGCGATCGGTTGAATGAGTTATCTTTGTATTTAATGCGATAGTGACAGAATGGAGGAATTGCGGGTATTGTTGTGGAGTCATTATTGACTTCGGCTCGAGAAGCATAGTGACTCTGGCCATGTATTTAATGCGATAGCGACTAGGCAGTGAAGTATGGATGTTGACTTGCCTTGCATTAAACACGAATGACGTGAGGTGAGGCTGATAGATCATTCCGTTGTTCGAGACATTCTCTAGTGAAGTCCAAGCAGAAGATACCTTTCATCTCGGACTCGAGATCATTTAACAGATCCCCGCTTGAAGACGTCTTTCATCTTGGACTCAAACTGCTAGAGATATCAATGGTGCTGACATCCAAGTCGAACTTTCAGTTTATAGGACTCGTACTGTTAATATGACATGTGGCTAACTCTTAAGAGTTTATTAGAATTGATAATTCTCACGGTACAATAGAAAACTTTACACTTGTTTTGACAACAAACTAAGAAGATAATTGATTTGTAAATTTCAATTGTGTTTTAGAAGAATAAAAGTTACGAAAAACCGTGATGACTAGATGATCTTCTCGTTATGATCATCAATATCTCCACCTGGCAAGATGACTAAAATGCATATGTACAAAGATTCTCGACTTAAATATCTAGTTATCATATTACATTAGGGTCCATCAATTATCGCTAGTACTTATAATAAGTTAATTATAAAAATAACTTACAGAAACAACTTATCTAGGCTACTAAAAATAATAGTTTGGTAACTAAATATCAAAAATTTCTTAAAAAGCAACTAAAGTGTTTGGTAAATCTTTGCTTAATGATCATTAATGAGAGATAAAAAGTATATATAGTATATAAAAACTAGCCCATAATCAACTTAGTTTTCCTTGAAAAAGCATGATTATATTATAGACATATAAGATTAGTCTAAATTGCACGACAGAAGTCACTTATCGATCCTTGCAATAAGTAAACCGAGTAAATAATAAATCAATTTACATAAGCCCGCCTCTGAAGACCCGACTAACCACGCGAAACAAAGCGAAAAGTCAGTGTTGAAGGTTCAAATCTATTTTTACTTGATTCTTTCACCTACTAATAACGAATCGTTCAAATTTTAGTGAAAGCAAGACCAAGTAAAATGTAATAAACCTTAACCCCGTTTCTTTCCTCTTGCGAAATAGTCATAACTCATAAGTTTGAATCAATGAATAAAAGAGATTCTAAAGAATCCACAACAAATTACTACAACGTCCGTAAACAATTAGAAAAAAAGGCCAAATGTGTGAATTTCACACTATCAAATTAATTCACTGATAATTAAAAAAGGGTCAATTACACAGTAAACCCCATGTCCCTTGAGCATTTTGAAACAAAACCACAAAAAAACCCCTAGGAACATTCAAAAACCGCGCTTAAAACCCAGCAACGTTAAAAATCACACTAAACCTCCTAATGAATTTCGCACAAAAAAACCCCTCAAAATTAACACTATTACATCTCACACGGCACATGCAACCCAGATGACTTAAGATACCAACATACCCCATAAATTATTTAAAAAAACTCATTGATGACTATTTTTTGATATTTTCAAATCTAAAAATAGAAATCTCACTTTTTGTCGTCCATTTTACTCTTGCTTGTGCTTAGGTAGCGTCCCGAACCCTAATCGTTTTTTTCATTTGCTAAAATCATAATTCAAAACGTCTTTTTATTTTTTATTATTATTTTTTGAATTTTTCAGGTTATTTGCATAATGCCAAAACTTACCAGGGATTTTTCTGTAATTCCAAAAGTTATGAGAAGTTTGGTGTGATTTTGAAAGCTATTGTTGGCTTAGTGTGATTTTTGAAAGTTCTTAGGGGTTTCAGTGTTATCTTGAAAGATATAGGGTTCATTGCACAACAGTGAAAGTTTATAGGGGGTTTAGTGTAATTTACCCAAAAAATTATTTCACTGATTTTTAAGTTATTTCACTGATTTTTAAGCGGGGCCAGGCAACAAAGAGAGAAACTTTTCTTTTCTTTTTTTCTTTTTTTTTTCCGGGGAGCACAAGGGCACCCAACGGAATCATCGGAATCATCGAAAAGGACCCGTCCCCTGATTCGTCCTCCATTTGAATCCACTTATTACACCCCCCTCCTATTTCTCTCTCTCTCTCTCATGCATTACTGCTCTCAGTAACTTCTCTCTCCTCCCTCTAATGGCGGCCAAAAAGGCCATAGAGTCATTTTCGAAGGCCCTCGTCGACGACGTCCAGCGATGGGCGGAGAAGAAACAGACGGGGGTGAGCCTGAGGTACATGACGGAGTTCGGAGCGAAACCCCCGGAGAAATTCCTCCTGATTTCTTCCCAATTCCTCCACAAAGAGCTCCCCGCTAGAATCGCAAGGAGAGCCGTTGAGCTCGAGAACCTCCCCTTTGGCTTGTCCCAAAAACCCGCCGTCTTAAAGGTTTGAACGCAACTTCCCTAAAATTGGCTTGATTTTGGTCGTGGGTTTTTGATTTTGAGGCGATCGATGCGGGTTTGGCTTTTTTTTATTTTGGTTGTTTTTCTTTAGTTTATTAGCGATCTATTGTACTTTTTGAGTGTTGGGTATTCGTTTTTGTGGAGATCGGTTCAGATTTTGCATGTGGATTCTGGTGATTAGTGGTTTTCAAATTCGAGTTTTGGGTCTTTTTTTAAAAAGATTTTTTTTAAATGCTTTTCTTTTCGTAGAGAGTTTGCTGTTAGGACAAACTCGGAGCCCAATAGAACAAGATCGCAGCAATTATAGTGAAAATAAAGATAAAAAAGATGTACACACAGATTTACGTGTTTCGACACAAAATTACCTACATCCATGAGCAAGGATAGAAGAATTCACTATGAGGAGAAAACTCTGGAGTTACAATCTTTTTTTACAAGAAGATATTCTCTCTCTATTTTCTCTCTCTCACTCTTCTATATGAGGAGTTATTTCTAGGATGAATTTTTCTTTAAGAGTTTGGTGCTTATTTATAGTGTTTGGAAAAATACTATTCACTAATATAATATTATTTATGATGGGACCCGTCACTCTTTTTATTTTCAAACCTCACCTAACTTTAGGCAGCACCCCATGTTTTTCATTTTCTTTCTTTTTTTGCGGCCAAGGAGTCAAGGATTTCGGCTAATAATTTCCCACTTGAAGATTTGATTGTGTAACAATTACATGTGCACACTATTCTTTCTATCTTATCATCTTCATATTGCTCATGTTTTCGACAGACCACAAGAGGATCGACACCAAATAAATTTATCAGTATGGATTGTTTTTATCAAAAAATATGCTAAGTTGTCTTTGATATGAATTTTTTTGCATATCCATTGTTCTTTCTTTCACTTTCTCACGAACGAAGTGATACTGAACTCGAATGTGCTTGGTCTTTGAATGAAAGACTAGATTTCTTGCCAAATGTAAAACACTCTGACTGTCACAAAACAGAGAAATCTTTTTTTGTTCATGATCGAGTTCTTCCAGCATCATCTTCAACCACATCATCTCTTTACTAGCTTGTGTAGCTGCTACAAATTCTGCTTCTGTTGGTGAAGTAGTCACAACTGACTGCAGTTTTGAAACTCAGCTTACAGTTTCGCCAGCAAGTACAAACACATAGCCTATGATCGATTTGCTATTATCACGATCACCTACATAATCAGAATCAACATATCCACTGACAATAAAATCAGATCCCTCATAACATAATGTAACATTTGAGGTTCTCTTAATGTATCTTAGAACCCTCTTTACAACATTCCATTGCTCTCTATCAGGATTTGTCATGTATCGACTAACCACTCCCACTATTTGTGTAATGTTTGATCTTATACAAATCATAGCAAATATTAAGATTTCCACTGGTGATGCATACGGTATTCGAGACATCTTCATCCTCTCTTCTTCACTGTTAGGACTCATACTGGAGGATAACTTAAAATTAACAGGAAGTGAGGTAGAAATTGGCTTACAATCTTGCATGTTAAAGCACCGCAAGATTTTGTTCAAGTAATTCTTCTGAGAAAGTTAAATCTTCCTATTAATTCTGTCTCGATAAATTTGCATCCCTAGAATCTTGTTTGCAGATCCTAAATCCTTCATTTTAAATTTCCTAGCTAATTGAGCCTTTAATTATTTGATATGATCTTTATTGGGAGCCTACAACTAACATATCGTCAACATACAACAATAAGATAACAAAGTTATTTTCACAAAACCTCTTGAAATATGCACAATGGTCTGAATTAAGTCTGTTGTATCCAAGGCTCATGATGAATGAATCAAATCTCTTATACCAATACCTCGACGCCTGCTTTAGATCGTACAGAGATTTGTTCAATCTGCAAATCAAGTTCTCTTTTTCTTTTTTTTCAAAACCTTCTGGTTGGAGCATGTAAATTTCTTCTTCAATATCTCCATGAAAAAATGTTTTCACATCTAGCTGCTGTAGATGTAAGTCAAATATATCGCTCATAGTCAGGACTATTCGGACTGTTATAAGTCGAACTACAGGAAAAAATATTTTATTAAAGTCAATACCTTCTTTCTGAGCATATTATTTTACCACCAATCTAGCACGATATCGCTCTACTTGATCATCACCATTTCGCTTGATTTTGTAAACCTATTTATTGTCAATGGTCTTTCTTCCTTGTGATAGTAACACAAGTACCTAAGTCTTGTTCTTATGGAGAGCTTTAATTTCTTCCTGCATTGTTGTCATCCACAAAGATGCATCTGTGCCATTTATAGCTTCATAAAAAATTGACGGCTCTCCATCCTCCGTTAGAAGATAATATGCAATATTACTCTCCGTAAAATGCTCCAAGTGTTCGGTCGGTGGTCTTCTCTCACGTGTTGACCTTCGAACTTCTGGAGCCTCGGACTCGATCGATTCTTGTACATCATGCTCCGGTGTTGCTTCAAAAGAATTCAGATTATCTTCTACCTGAACAACTACAGTCTTTGAGTCCTTCTTCGAACTGCTTTCTTCCTCTTTACTTTGTAGTTGGTTCTCTACAAAGATAACACATCTACTGATGATAATCTTGTGGGCAGTGGGATCCTACAGGCGATACCCCTTTACTCTAGCAGCATACCCCAAGAATAAACATTTTCTAGATTTTGAATTCAGCTTTGTAATTTTTTGGGCATTGTACATTACGTACACTGAACTTCCAAATATATGGAGGTTAGAATAATCAGATGGCTTGCCAGTTCACATCTTCATCAGCGTCTTCAACTGTATTGCGGTTGATGGAGATCGATTCACCACATAACATACAATTTTTACTGCTTCCATCTAAAAGACTTTGTCCAGATTTGCAGTTGTCAACATAGCTCTTGTTCTTTCCAACAGAGTTCTGTTCATCCGCTCCGCCACTCTATTTTGTTGAGGAGTATAAGCCGTACTGAATTATCTTTTGATGCTTTCGTGCTTGCAGAATGCTAGGAATTCATCGTCTGTGTATTCTCCTTCATATCTGGTCTCAAGCAATTGATCTTCTTCTCAAATTCAAGCTTGACCCGTGCTTTGTAGGTTTTAAAGACTGAGAACACATCCGTCTTTTTCTTGATAGGATACACCCAACATCTCTTAGAGTAGTCATCAATAAAGGATACGAAATATTTCGCTCCTCCTAAGGATGTAATCGGTGCTTGCCATACATCAGAATGAACCAGTTTCAGAATAGTCTTGCTTATAAAACTCAATGTGTTGAACTTTAGCGGATGCTGCTTACTTGTAACACAATGCTCACAGAATGGAAGAGCTACCGAATTAAGTCTAGGAAACAACTTCTGATCGGAGAGAATCTTCAAGCCTTATTCTGACAAGTGGCCTAGTTTGCGATGCCACATCATGGTTTGTTCTTCTCAACGACTGGTTGATGTCACACATGAATCAGCTTTCTACAGGATTTCTCCCGTGAGCATGTATAGATTTGTAGCTATCTTCTTTCTTTTTATAACAACAAGCGCCCCTCTAATAATCTTCATGATCCCGTTTGTTATATTGGTATTACACCCGAGCTTATCTAATTGTCCTAAAGACAATAGATTCTTCTTCAGGCCCTTCACATGTCGCACATCTTGAATAGTACGTATTGTATCATTAAACATTTTATTTTTGGTAGTGTCAATACTAAAAATTTCCAAGGCATGATCATTTTCTATGAATACAGATCCTCCTGAGATAGGTTCATATTTATGGAACCATTCTCTCCGAGAAGTCATGTGCCAGGAGACTGCTGAATGTAGAAGCCAGACATCAGCAAACCTCCTTCTGCCTTCATCAACAGATGTCGCTTCACTGAATAGAATTTCACCATCGTCTGATGTGCTGACAACGCATCCTTGAGATGTTGATGACTCTGAAGACTTTTTATCTCTATTCTTCTTATTGTGTCAACACTTCGATTTGACGTGTCCCTTTTTATCACAGTTGTAGCATTTGATATTCTTCTTACTTCGTGATTTTCATCTACCATGGGTATGACTCCCGCTGGAGCCACTTTCCGTTGATCTTCCTCTAGTCATCGATAAGGCCTCCGTTTGTTGCAAACTTGTCTGCCTGTCTTCCTTGTTCTTACGTCGATTTTCTTCCTTCAGAACAGCGGCTGCAACATCGTTGAAAACTAGATAGTCCGTAAGTACGTTGTTTGTCAGGTTGATGATGAGTTGATCATACGAGTCAGGTAGACTCTGAAGTAGAAGTTCTGCACGTTCATTCGCACCAACTGTATACCCCAACGTTATGAATTGCGAGAACAATGTGTTTAGGGTATTGATGTGATCAGTCATCGATGTAGATTCCGTCATTCTAAGAGTGTAAAGTCTCTTTTTTAAGAAGATTTTATTGTGCATGAATTTCGCCTCATAGCTTTGTTAGAGTATCCCAGATCTCCTTTGCCGTCTTCTTCTCCTCTTTGTTGTCTTCTTCTCCTTTATGCTTGATAGCACACCGTCTGCTAATGCCAGATGAAGATTTACAATAGCATTTTCGTCTATCTCGTTTTACTTCTTATTATCTGTGATGTCGTCCGGCCTTGCATCGATGGCCGCCAAACAATTATCTTTTCTCAAGATAGCCTTTATCTTTAACTTCACAGTGAGAAATTATTCCCGTCGAATTTCTCGATCTTGAACTTTGTCACCATTGCTTCTATTACGAATAGTAACTTCTTACTGTCTCACGTAAACAGTAACTATATTTATGAACAGTAACTGTATCTGTGAATAGTATCGTACTTGTAAATATTATCATATTTATGAACAGTACCGTACTCGTGAATAGTACCCGTCACCTTCAAAGGGTAAATGATAACCTAACTTATTTTCTGATGTGGAGGATCCATCTTTGGTGGCAGCCACAGAGTATACGATAAGTAGATATATACAAGCATTCTAAGTTGGCTCTGATACCACTTGTTGGGACAAACCCGGGGCCTAATAGAACATGATCGCAGTAATAGTAGTGAAAGTAGAGATAAAAAAGATGGACACACAGATTTACGTGGTTCGACACAAAATTGTCTACGTCCACGGGCAAGGATAGAAGAATCCAGATGGACACACAGATTTACGTGGTTCGACACAAAATTGTCTACGTCCACGGGCAAGGATAGAAGAATCCACTATGAGGAGAAAACTCTGGAGTTACAATACAAAATTGTCTACGTCCACGGGCAAGGATAGAAGAATCCACTATGAGGAGAAAACTCTGGAGTTACAATCTCTTTTTACAAGAAGATATTCTTTCTCTCTCTATTTTTTCTCTCTCTCTTCTATATGAGGAGTTGTTTCTAGGATGAATTTTTCCTTAAGAGTTTGGTGCTTATTTATAGTGTTTGGAAAAATACTATTCACTAATATAATATTATTTATGATAGGACCCGTCACTCTTTTTATTTTCAAACCTCACTTAACTTTAGGCAGCAGCCCATGTTTTTCATTTTCTTTCTTTTTTTTTTTGCGGCCGAGGAGTCAAGGATTTCGGCTAACATTTGCTAAAGTAGTGTGTGCATGTTAGGTTTTGACGAAGAAGGCTGTCCTTTTATTTTTAGGTTTTATTTTTATTAATTTAGTTCTTTTCGTTTTCTCTCTGCTTATGATAATTGCATGACATCTCATTTTTTTTTTGGAAACGGAAATTGATGATCAGAACATTATATAATGCATGCCTCTTTTCCCCATCTTTTATGCGTGTTGCAGAAATTTTGGGGAAGAATCTGATAATAGTCAATTTGAGACTACCATCCCAAAATGACTGTGAATATTTATTGTTTCTTTTTGCCTTTTTTGGCTTCATTATGATCAGGCCTATTCTGTTTCTTTTGTACTACTGAGCTTTCTTATTGGATGTAGATTGATGTGAGGCAAACTTGGTAGAGACTGAATATGATCGCTGTTGATAATGTGCAGGAGCGATTTTTAGTGTAAATTTCATGAAAACCCCTGGTAACTAGTTTCATAAAACCCCCTTAACTTTAATTGGTTTCCTACATAACCCCTGAACTTCTTCTTTTCCACTAAACCCATTGAAGATAGTTAACTTTAACCCGCTGAAGCAACACTATCAAATCTAACCTTTCTCATGTCGATCACGTGATGGAAAAGGCTAAACTATCCCTCGTCCTTAAAAAAATAATGGAAACTATAAACAGAACATGTTTGAGGGTTGAGGGGTACTCACGTGCTTGGTCTTTAACATGTTAGATTTGATGGTGTTTCTTTGGAGGGTTAAAGTGAAGAATCTTCAAGGAGTTCGCTGGAATAGAAGAAGCTCAAGAGATTATGTACAAGACCTCTTAAAGTTTGGGGGGTATTGCGATATTAAAATAGGTCAGGGGGTTGTAAGAAAAATGGACAAACTTTTGGAGGGTGGGAAAATAAAAATAGTTAAAGGGGGTTATATAAAATTGGACAAACTTGTTGTCTTTCTTTTCGTTTTTTTTGGGTTTTCTTTTTGGGGGTGAGTGGGCGTGGGGGGCGAGGGTTTCGGGGTTGTGTACCTTACCCTGGGGTGGTGGGTGCCCCCCGGGGGGGGTGGCGGGTGAGGGGTTGGGGTTGTGCACTTTGCCCTAATTTGTCTAGGCTTCTACTTTTTTCTGTTTTTTGAACTATTTGATGTGGAATGTGCAAGCAGTATGTGAAGTTTAGGTAAGGACTTTTGATGAGGACATCCAGGCACGTGCACGGGACTTCTGCCGTGTTTATCAGCGTAGGAGACGACGTATTCCAGCCGCACATCAGATCCCAGGGATATGGTTTTGACAGTTTAGAAATTTCAGTTATTTTTTTAGTTAGTAGTTGAATTCAGATTAGAGTTGTTATTAGTTATTTAGTTGTTATTGGATAAGATTGAGAGAGATTAGATTGAGCTTTTAAATTCTGTAATAATCTCTATATAAACATGATTTGTAATCAGAGTTGGAATCAATGAATATTTTTGAAAGTAATTGCAATTACCTGAGTGATTGAACGTGTGAAACGTGGGTGTGAAACCCCATTGTTTCCTCTTCTGTTCCTTTCAAGCAGCCGCCGCCCCGTCGTCACCCCGAACACCACAGCCCGAACCGACCTCGTCGCCGCCATCATCCACGCGACGAGCAGTTCCAGCAAACGCCGTCCACATCTCCGTCGGTCTCCGAACGAGCCCCGAACCGAATCGACGCCTTCAGCCCCGCCGCTCGACAATCACCGTCGAACTCCCCTTCCGACAGTGCCGCCCTCTACCGCGTCCTAGATCCGCCCAGTCGTCGCCCTATTCGACGAAGACCGCCGCCTTCCTCGCCCTCGAGCCGCCCGCGACCGCGTCTCCTCAGATCAGAGCCGAACCGAACGGGTTTTGGCCTAGGGTTTTGAACAGACCCGCCCCTTTATATATTTGGATCTGGTCTGCTTGGGTTCATTGAGTGGTTTATTTTGGTTCAGTTTTGGTTCAGTTTGGTTCAGTGTGATTTTAAGCTTTGAATCGTGATCCATTAGTGTATGGCTGACCCTGACGCTGAAGACAACGACCTTGTGCTTGATCCAGAGACTGGTATTGTTGATTTGCAGCTTTCCTCGTGGTTCGATTACCGGACGTCCGAGAGTGTTCCTGAATACGTCGAACGCGTGACTCATCAGCTTGTAGACAGTGTGGAGAGCAGTTTGGGCATTAGTTCTTGGCACCGACGTTTTCATCCAGATACGCCGCTTCATCCCAATTATGTAGCTCTTGGAGGAGAACTCCCACCACTCACATTTGGAGTTTTTACACCGCCTCCAGAGGATCCTCCCATCGAACCAGTCCAACCCGACGAAGGTTTAGTTTTCTTACGCCCAAGTATTTTCGGAATTGCTATTGCGTGCATGTTATTCTCAATCTTAGTATCAATTGCGATTATGCTGTATCAGTTTGAATAGTGAGCGAGTGATTCTGTTGCTGAGTATTTTTGCTTATCTAAATATTACAAATTGAACTGTATTAAGAGAACAAATCATTACATTATTTATCAGAATAATTTTACAAAGGTTCAAACTTAGTACATTGCAACTTTTGCTTAAAAACCATCGTTCGCTTCATTTTATTCTTGAGCTTCCTGCCTAGATTGATCGCTGATTTGGTGAAGCATTGCTGTCGCTGATCTTGCACCTGTATTCACATTGTTTTACATCAACTTTTCAGTATGGAGTCATTCTTCTTTCCTCCTGAAAGAATGTTGTAGCTACATATTTAGAAATATTATCATCGCGGTCAAAATAGTTTTTTTTTTGGTTGATAAATTGCGGTCAAAACAGATATGATCATTAACGCGATTTAGTACATGAGAGATTAATTTAATGCATCATGGTGGCCACTTAGCTGCATAACTGAGAACACATATTATGGGACACAGAGGAAAGAATTTCTGATTTGTGCATCCTGGTTTAAACTTTGAATAATTGTTACTGTTGTAGTTCTGCGTACATTATAAGGTTTCTCTATTTATAAGATTGTTCGGTTGTAAATTCTAGTCATGTACTTGTTTCTGATGTGGACATGCTTTCGACTGATGCTTCTGTGCTCATAGAGATGTATTGTGCTTCTCTGTTAATATAACGAGGCGTTTTGCGCTTCCTTACTTAATATAGATTCTCTGATAAAAAAACCTGGTTGTTGGGTTTAGGAGTAATTTTTATATCAATAACTTCGAGTTTAGTAAGTGTTTGTACTGGGTACATAAGTTCTGTTATCTTTGGTTTTCTAGATAAAATGTCGGTGATATGTATATACTGCTCTGGAATTGCGATAATCTCTGCACTATAATTGTTATTTCCAATAGTCATACTGGTGTCTCTTAACTGATACGTATATCCTGCTCTAGAGAAGACTAATTTTGTAGATATTTCCTTCTTAATTTTGTAGATATTTCCGTCTTCTTTTTGCATGGTAATCTATACAGCTTTCTGGCTTCATATTGCATTGATTTTTTTTTTTTGTAATGAACCATTTATCCATGTATTCTTTGTTTGGCATCTTAAATTGGTGACAGGAAAGTTGTCTAAATGATAATGTCTTTTTTTTCCTTTTATAAGGTCAGAGATTGGTATTTGGACTCCTTTCGTGATCTTCGATCCTTCCCAGAGATCAAGGATTCAAGTGATGAGTTAGCATTCACCCAAATGATCAGGATGATCAAAGTGAGGCACAATAATGTGGTACCTGCCATGGCTTTAGGAGTGCAGCAGCTAAAGAAGGACCTCAATCCCAAGGCTGTTTCTAAAGATCTGCAAGAAATCCATCAATTTCTTGATCGCTTTTACATGTCAAGGATTGGAATTCGTATGCTTATAGGTCAGTGAATATTTATTTCTCTCCCTTTTGTTTTTATCTCAGTTTTTTATTTAGAAGGTTTTGATATTCATCCCTTAAATCTGTCATATTTTGAAATTAATCCCTCAAATCAATGATTCTGCTATTAGATTCTTAAGTTACTTGAAATTTGTCCCCCAAATCAGTGAAATTACTATTAGGTCCCTAAATTCATAAATTGTTTTGAAATTAGTCCCTCCAATCAAGAGTCGAAGTAGCACCTAGAGTAATTTGAAACAATTTATGAGAATTGGGGGATCTAATAGCAACTGCATTGCTTTGAGGGACACGTTCAAAATTACTCAAGAATTGGGGGACCTAATAACAATTTCATTGATTTGAGGGCAAAATATGAAAGATTTGAGGGAGTAATATTGAGAAAATCCTTTATTTGATATCTTATATTTTTAAAACCTTCTTTTTTTTGCCAAAACCAATAGTTAGTTTAAATGTGTATCGTGATTTATATAAAAATATTTGGCTTCGAAGTTGTGTTAAGAAGGAATTTATGTGATCAAAATCCAGGACAGCACGTGACTTTGCATGATCCAGACCCAGAACACAGCCTAATAGGTCAAATAAATACTAAAATGTCTCCCATGCATGTGGCCCGGATTGCTAGTGAAGATGCTCGCAATATATGCTTGAGGGAGTATGGGAATGCTCCTGAAGTTAACATCTATGGAGATCTCAATTTTACCTTCGCGTAAGTCCATCACAAATTATAAACATCATTCTGGTGACAGAAATTTCCATCATATGCACATTATCATCAACTTATCACAAGGATTTCCTTGCCTCCTGTACATTCTTCTTTTGTTTATTGGTTAGTTGCGGATACACTTGCTTTACCATCGCCAAATTGCCGATAGACCCCCTGTCCTCCTTTTATTTGCAGAAAGTCCCCATGGATGCTCAACTCGATTGGTTTTATGTTAAGATTGTGCTTCATAAACTAAAACATAGGAGCTTCATAAACTAAAACATAGGAGCTTCATAAACTGGTTGAGAATCCAGGGGTTCTATCTGCAACAATAAAATTTTAGGAGGCCTATCCCCAATTAAACATTGTTTATTTAGTAGGTTTTGCAGAAAATTTACCTTCCCATAAGTCCATCATACATTGTAATCAGAATTATTATTGAAACAAATCTTTATCACCAAGATTTCTGTCTCCTATAACTTCTTCTTTTTGTTTATTTAATAGGTTTCTTGGCTTAGTTTCTATTTTATAGTTCTAATAAAAAAGCTTCTTGCTATGTTACATGCACTATTATTGGAGAATATCTGATATTTGATCAGTAATGATATATGCTGCCTGTTTGTATTTCTTGATAGTAATACATTTGTTACACATGCTTCTATTATTATTAGGTTGAGCATAGATTGAAAGTACACATTAACTGTTCCTTGTTGCTCTACTTGAGTTGATGGCACTGACAAGCATGAAGTCCGTTGGTTATGTACTTTAGGTGATGATGCTACCTCCAATGAGCTGGATTACGCATAAGATGTATTGAACAAATTGTATCATTTGTCTATTTCCTTGTTCGCTGTGTCATACGTATTCATCTCATACATCAAAGAATGGACTTAAAAAATGATTCTCTTGGTAAAGAACATTTTATAAACTGCTGCCTTTTTCATGCCAGAGATATTAAAACAAGTTGTAAAATATCTGATAAATTAGCATCTGTGAGTAATACATGTTTCCTTGATCTGGATCTGATTTTTGATATTAACATCCTCATATCTAAATCAGGTATGTTCCGTCACACTTGCACCTTATGGTATTCGAGTTAGTTAAGAACTCTTTACGTGCGGTTCAAGAACGGTATATGAATCCTGATAAAGATGCTCCTCCTGTCAGAATAATAGTCGCTGATGGAATAGAGGACGTGACCATAAAGGTATGCTTATTGTAGCTGCTTGTGTCAGGAGAATCAATCTGCTTATATTTTCTGCAATCGTGGTATTGTGGTCTAATGTACGTTTGGCTGCATAAATGTGTGTGTTTTGCTATTCCTCCTGATTTTATGGAATTCTGTTATTTTTGTTTTGTCTTCTGTTCTGCACCATCTCATTGGAAGATTTCAAAATGCAAGCTTTTTGCAAGTTTAAGCCATGGATGTCTTTCTTTTCTAAACATAAACAACTTTTCTCATGTGCAATTTTGAGGGTTATAGCTTGCTAGACATTGTCATCATGATACTGCAGCTTGTGAGGCATTTTCCTCTTGTATCATGATTGCGGTCATCTCAATTTTCCGTTTCCATATTTGTCTTGATCTGCAAAATTTCTTTCAACTCTCTTTTTCTCTTTTTCGCGTAACACATCTATCTATTTTTGCTGCTAGCACTGGTTTATGCTGCAGTTCATCTCAGTTCTTGAAGAATTATACACAGAATTTTTTTTTCGCTTTGACCTATCATTTTGGATCACAGATATCAGATGAAGGCGGTGGTATAGCAAGGAGTGGTCTTCCAAAAATCTTCACCTATCTTTATAGTACCGCAAAAAATCCATTAGACGTAGATCTCGGAGTCGATGATGGGGTCACTATGGCTGGATATGGCTATGGGCTTCCAATCAGTCGACTCTATGCTCGATATTTTGGAGGTGATCTGCAAATTATTTCCATGGAAGGCTATGGTATGTCCAATATCTTATATGCTAAGTGCTTATGTGTTTACTTTTTCCTTGCCAATGTCTTCAACAATATATTCCACCAAGACAGTGAAACTTCATCAGTGCAATGTGAAAGCTAACCCTAGACAAAATGACTTCATGAATTGATTTGGATGCCTTCATATGTATTTCAGTTCTAAATAAAAATTTCCTTGTCAAGATGAAAGAGATTGAAGGAAGCAGTAGTTAGGTTGTTTCTCTTCACTACGTTTCAATTTTACAACATAACTTAAGCATGAAATTTATGGTCCACTGTACATTAATTTTGTTGCAAAAGGCAGAACCACTAGGTATAGCATAAGAAGTCTTGAAATAAAAGGATACTTATTGATACAAATTAATATTCTAAGTAGAATGATAGGTGCATGTGTAAGGAGTTATTAATTCATAGTTAAAAGAACTAGCACTCTGGGCAACTAAAACGAACAGGTTGATAAAATGGTATCCTTTTTGTTAATTTGATGTTGGAAAAGAGCTATTGGAGAAAAGGATTGGTGTAGCTGACTGATATAATAGACAGTTTGGGTTCAACTGATTAGAGAAACTGGGTACTGTAAATAAGAAAGAATAGGATAGAAGATTTAGAATGGATGTCCAGACTCTGGAGGAAGGAGAGAAGAAGATATAAAAATAAAATGAAGAACTAATTAATTTAATCTTACATCATTTACAGTATGATCTGTTTAGAAGCAGTTGTGAATCAAGACTTTTTCATTGGTCATGTCATTCATTAACATATCTTTACAATAATATTTTCTTATTTCGTTTTCATGATGTTTGTCCCTCAAAAGATGCGAAACTTGAAATAGCTTCCCCCTCGATATGATATTATCAAACAAGATCCCCAATTTGTTTGAGTTTCACTTGTCAAAGGACACTGTCATTACACCAAAACTCTACAGTTATGCCGAGGGTTGAGGTTGTAGTTTTATAGTCTAACATGCCGCATTAGGTTGAGTGCTATTTTTATTGGCCAAAATTTGGACTTGCGCAGGGGTATTAATCTATCTAAAATCCTCTTTAAATTTATGGTCAGTGGGATTTAAACTTGGATTTTTCTGATATCATGTCAAAGGACATATGCCCCTGCACCAAAATTCTGATATTATGGTAAGGGTTGAGGGTTATAATTTTATTGTCTAACAACACCAAATATGTTCCTCTAGTTACAGTATGTTATGTTCACCTATGATTTAATGGCGGTCATTAACAATTCCGGTTATAGCCTCATCCCTTCAGCACATTTCCCAGGTGTACTGCTGCATGTTGCAGAAAGTGCAGAAGTGGTCCTCCATCATGCCTTCATCTTCATGCACCCCTTTTGTGATTGCCGTCATCATTCTTGGCATGTTGGGAGCCCATTGGATCCAAGGTAGAAGAAGAGAGACTTACTTGAGAGGAGTGAAGGTTGTATGAGTGAAGATTGAAAGAGGAATGAGGTATTTGATGTAGCACTAACCCCAACTCGCAAATCATAAGAATATATCCATGATATAGCACTAACATGCAAAAGATTTGGAATATCTGCATTTTACATGGAGTTATAAGACGAATCAGCTCCATCTTCCTTGACTGATTCATAAAACGGTTGACCGTGATTTTGAGGCCGCAAAACAATGGAATCTCGAGAAACCGACAAAGATCAGTTGCATTATCTTCGGCAAACCCATTGATCCGAATGATTTTGCAAGAGCTTCGAATCAACTGGTCTTTTGCGCGATTCAGACAAGTTTGACCCTCCGGCAGGTTTGACTCTTCCCTTATAGGGTTGAACTGGTCCATGTAGGCGAGGGCCACCTATATGGCTGCATCAACAATGTAGACAGCTAGATGCACCAATTAAGGGAAGTGATAAGATTATAACTAATGGAGGGAGGAGAACTGGTGGTAGGCCTTAGAGATTGATTGAATGCAATTAAGAAAGATGCAATAGTAATTCCCTAAACTGAAGAGAATACATACAACTCATGCATCCAATCCTAAAAATTTGGGATAAATGATTTGTTGTTGTTAACGCCTTTAAAGGCCCGAGGACCTAAGGCCATGAAGGGACTTTTCTTTAAGTCACATTTATAAAGTATCACGGTTATTCTGCAAATGCGGCAGTTTGCATAGGTGCAAGATCATTGACGTTAGTTTATGTTGAATAGAATGCTTAATTTAATTATTGATATATGGTTTTGTTTGTTAAGCGGACTATTATTACTTACACATAGAGTAAGTAAACATTTGTACGTAAAACATCATACATAGAGTATAGTTGCTTCCCATTTTGGGTTCTCATGGTACGGGTGAGACACCTGTCTTACCGGATCAGCAATTTAGGTGGCAAACCATGCACTGCAAATGAGCCAAGCTTGGAGTATGTAAACACATAAATAACATGTGAACCTAACGTCTATCCTATTTCTTGGGAAAGCTTCTTGGCCATTCAATTGGGCAAGCGTAAACTATTGGCAGATTTGAATTTTCTTTTGTTCTATTTGACTGTGTTGCACACAAATCATTGTTTGGGTTTTGTTCTATATGACTGTGTTACACACAAATCATTGTTTGGGTTTAAAAATAAATCACTAGAAGTGCATAGTATTTTTAAAGTATTTTGAGATTACATGGTTTTAACAATTTGTTGTCAAACTTTGGATAAGGAAGTACTTTTCCCATATTATGGAAGATCGTAGATGTAACTATCTGATCTTCTTTAAGCTATGTTCTCTTTATTTTCATCATCAATTCTTGAATGCCACACTCTGGGAAAGAAATTGCCGCCAGAATATTTTGTTTCTGAGCAGTTTCGCATAACCACTTATTTTAAATTATTGGAGATCATTTTCTAAAGAGCCCCGCTATATTGCCTCACAAGTTTTTCTAACAAAATCCTTCCTTCACTATAAGGGTTGCCAAATTGACAATGAAACGGCACTAAACTTGATGCGAAACGATGACAATTGACAAGGGTCTGTCGGAATCAGCGATCTAAATCGAATAACGCACCGTTTCGCCAAAATTCATGATCTTCGATAGGAAATTAAATTCAAACAGTTAATGTGACACATGGATTTAACGAGATTTACGTCAATAATCATGAACAATTCCAATCTCAAACAATATAATCGCAGTATTCATTATCATTGTACCAGTTCCACAATCAATATCAATTTTTCAACAGTCACATGTTCAGTTACCCTCAACTCATAAATACTAATCTAAGCAACGAATATATGATAATAGTTTAGAGACAAGATACTCATGCAATTAACTAACCAAATGGGATAAACAGAAAAATAAAGAAAATGAAACCTTCGTCGGTCTGAACAGACTCGACGTGAGAGACGACGTCGAATTAGCTAATGAGGCGGCAGCGAACTGAGTGACAACGACGGTGACGAATTTGAACAATGACGGTGGCGGCGACTCTGAGCAGCGACTAGAGTGACGACGTCGGCAAGAACGACGGGACGATAGCGATGTGATGATCCGTGGTAAGCGGCTGTGACAGTGGTAGTGTTGCTCTGGAGGGAATTTTGCCAAACAGTTTGTGTACATGAAGGCGACAGTTATTGGGAAGGGAAGCTCGGTGGCGGTGGGAGTAAGGCGGCTGCTTGGGAGGAGATGATGGCACTGGTGGTGCGGCTGTTTGGGAAGAGATGATGGTGCTGGTGGTCAGAGGTGGAGATCAGGGGCGGGCTAGGTGTGGGACTGTTGGTCTGCAGGGAAGAGGATGGTTTGACTGATTGTTGATGTGGGAACGACGAGAGAATGCTTAGCCGCTCGAGGAAGAAGACATAGGGAACGACCTAGGGTTTCACACCCGAGACATAGGGTTTCACACCCAATGTTTCACATCAAAATTTAGCTAATACAATTTTTTATTCAATAATTCATTGTCTTTTAATAGTCTCATACAACCTTATTTATAAAGAAAAACTACATGCACACAACGTGCAATAAAAAAGTAGAAACAAAACAACAATCCCTCAAATCACTCAACTAAATTTCAAAATTAAAAAATTCAAAAATTCAAAATACAAAAATACAAAAATTCAAAATTCAAAATTCAAAATTCAAATTCAAAATTCAAATTCAATTTCAAATTTCAAATTTTAAATTTTAAATTTCAAATTTCAAATTTTAAATTTCAAAAATAAAAAATAAAAGAAAGTCAACTAATCAAATATGGAAATTGCTATTTCTTGTCCTCATCATTCTCCCCGGGTGTGAGAAAACTCAACTCTGTCGAGTTAGTTACAAAAATTTATCATCTTTAATATACTCTGTCTGCATCTTAATTTGTCGTCAGTTACTTTCCTGCATCTCAAATCATTAGCTAGATTGCATTGTAAATTCACCATCTAAAATATTATCAAAATTCATTCTTGTATGGATGAATATATAGAAGTGAGGTAAAGTGAAAGAACTCTCAGAAACAATGGATTAGGGTCAGGCTTATATCAGTGGACTACCAATAACATTGTGAACTGTTTAATTAATCAATATTAAGAATAGAACTATGATCAAATCGATAATATTAATGTTGCCATTAATTATTTTAAGAGTTGAAAAAGTTCATAAATATCATGTCAAACCTTAAATAGTTATAAAGAAACTGTATTGGAGAAGTCCAAACCATCTAAAATATCAACATTAACAGTTTTAATATTATCCTGACTTCATACCATACATTTCAGTTAACAATGTATTTATTCAAATTAGATCACTGATTTCCCAATATATGACCAATGCAATTCAAAAAATAATGTGAATCGACTCAAATGATTATGGTGAAATGCAGACTCGAAATATGCGATCAATGATAGATGTAAACTTAACGAAGTGCTTAACATGTATGACGTCCTCTATCAAAGGGAATGATTAGGTGTTTTTTCGTTAATATAAATAACAACTTTCCTATTCTAGCAGTGATAGTGAAGAACATGCAAACAAATGCGTGAAGGAGGATTGTT